TTGTTGTTGTTGTTGTTGTTGTTGTTGTTATTATTATTATCCTCATTATTATTCGAGATAAATTTTAAAAAACTGGAGGCGTAGGTATTCTAGTGGTTAGGCTACCGAAACTGAAATCATAGAGGAAGAATTCCTTTTTAGCCCACGGACCAGTAAAAGATAGGGTCGCTTTTGGACAAGCTGTATTCACCGATTTCTTGCTTTAAATTTGGAAACGATTTTGGTGTTGCTTTTATTCGCCAAAATGCAGTCTTTTGAAAAAGATTAAATTTTCGATTCTGAAAACCTACTGTGCATTTGCTTCCCCCCTGCTCACCTCGGGGAACTGGAAGGAGGATCTGAAGCAGGATAAAAAAAAATTTGTTTTGTATTATTTTTACAGCTTGGTTAAAATATTTTGTTTGCCTGCTCCGTCGACCTACCCACCCACACACACATACACACACACATACACACACACACGCGAGCGCGCGCGCGCGCGCGCACACACACACACACACACACACACACACACACACACACACACACACACACACACACACATATATATATATATATATTTATATATATATATATATATATATATATATATATATATGTATATATATATACATATATAAGCACGCGCGCTCTTGGGACAGTTCCCAAGCCGAGTCTAAGATCGTAGACTAAAACAGCATTATGCACTGCTCACAACCGAAAGCTCCGTATCCCGGACTCAAGCATGGAGATCATCAGGAGAGTTTAGGGCTCTTCCTCTCCTCAGCCTTTCTAACGCACCGAGCCCCCTCACCGATGTGAAGTTTCCATGCTAGTCCGACTGTTTTCTTCTGCTGCCAACTCTTAGGATTGATTCCAGCCTGCGTCCTCTCGCTTCAACCAGAACCAGTGATTGGCTTTCTCTGCTGTCTCCTGAATGGAATTTAGGAGGTCCTTACTTTTCTTTGCTGTAAGTTCTGCCGCTCTCATCCACTTTCGGGCGCCAGTTGCTTCGAAACCTCTGCATCCAACCTCAATCGGAAAGTGGGTTGCTTTCCAACCTGCCTCCTCACAATTTTGGACAAGCGCCTCATATCGGTTTTCTTTCCGCTCATGTACAGCATTGACATTGTCTTCGTGAGGTACCGTGAGCTCAACCTGGTGCACCTCTTTCTCTTTTTCCCCCTTAACACCAAGTCAGGCGTTTTTGTTGTTGGCATGGGGGAGAATCTCTCGAAGCCCTTAAAGTCAGCAGCTACCTCCCGTGTGCCTCCGCTCTGGTCTCTCATGGTTTCGTTTGCTTTCTTTCTGTTGGGAACGTTGCTTCCTTTCGGAACGCACTCAATCTTGGTTAGTCCATGCTTCTGTAGCTTGGAGGCGTATTTTCCTTCTTCCACCTGTTTTGTCGCCATCGTGGTGAGCACTTTCAGCACCTTGTTTTGTCTCTGTACCTGTTCAGAGCCTGGTTGCAGTTTGACAAAATATGCTTCATGGTTCCTAGCTTACCGCATCTACACTTGTTAACCTCCTGTACTTTCCTTCTGTCCAGGTTCACCGATGAAGGCAAACCATCATGCGTAGACCGGAGAAGAAAGCTTAGTCTAGATATGTTCCACTTCCAGATGTCACTCTAACCAACTTTTCTTTCGACTACATGCTCTTCCCATCTGGTAATTTGTCCTTGCTGGCTACACTAGATGAGATTAACTTATCGCCTCTCGGCCTCGCCATTACCTAGCCCTGTTCTGTCAGGTTGTGCTGGACCGACAATATTGCCATGCTCCAATGCAGAGATGATCTCGTCAGTTGCAACTTCTGCCTTCCACTTTCTCGCTGTTTTGACATCTAGAGGTTTGCCGCTAATCTGTTGGTCCCTTGATTATCTCAGCATCATAACGGACATAGCCAAAGCAGAGCAAGGCATGGTCAAAATCAGGCGTGTCCGTGAAAAATGATTTTTTTCTCACATTCATTGACCATTCATTCGATGCTGCTAATGACGAGAATTGTTCTTTCGCCTGATTACAATCTGACAAAATAGATGTGCCTGTTCAACGGGTCAAAAGGAGATCGGGTAAACTGGTCTAAGGAACGCACCCTTCGAAGAATTGTACGCTGGGGGGTTTGAGCGTAAGCTCGGCCCGACGAGAAAGGCACTTTACACACACGAATGTTCTGTTTGGCTATGTCCGTTTGGAGATGGGCGTTAAACTCGAATGTCCCGCCTCCTAAATAATCTAATAGCGTTGACAGGGGCGTAAAACGAATGCGATTTCATTTTTCAATAGAAGAAAGTCACAAGAATGCGTTTTGTCACAGCCTCTGACAGTGATAATAGTTGGCTCATATAACCTTATGCAGTTGCGAGCGCCGTAAAACCCTCTACTATTAAAAACATTATCAAAGTAATAATTACACATGAGAAACTGTACCAATGTTTATCAACGCGCAGTTGATTTACATTCAAAAATTTTACCCAGAAGGAAACATAACTCTCAATATTGTAACAAGCGCAGATTTTCAATTCAAAACGCTGAGTTTGAGGACCAAAGCAAAAATATGGGGAAGTTCTGCGAGTTGCAAATTTTTCGTGAAATTGCGAGAGCTGTCGCGAAAGATTGAGGGGAAAATGGCTATAACTTAGAACGTTCTAGTTTAGTCACAATAGAAGTTTCAGTATAAAGTACTCACAACGTATCTACTTCTCAATGTTATTTCCGCAAAGATTGATGTGTTTTTCATCGGCGGAAACGGGAATAATCGTATACCCTCCGTCAAGAATTTCTCAATTTCTCGTCAAGAGACTGCAACCAATTTTCACTTCTTCAACGACATCTTGTTCCTTAGTGAAGATTTGTCGTGGCATACACAATGCGGGGTGCCCATTGGAGGATCGGGCTGGTTTGAGGCAGTTTGCTAACCAAATTGAAGGTGCAAAGCGGGTATTGTGTCAGAAGCCGACTCGTCAAGTCAAAAGCAAACGCGTTTGTTCTCAGGCGACAAGTCGGGCGACCGACCTGACCCGACCCGACCCCATCCGCAATGTGCACCTGGTATTTACAAGGGCTCCAATCAGGGGATAATCTGAGAGAGCAGGGTCCGAACTGTGTAGCGGGTGTGACTGTATCTCCCATTTGTATCTCCGAAGCTCCTCTGTAGCCTAAGTTTTGCTGCGTGAGGTGTGATATTGTTGTGCTGTAAGTAGTGAATGATGGACACAGTGGAATTCGCCTCGCCTCCTCCCCCCCTCCCCCGTGACGTCACAACAAAACATGCGGAAAGTTTGATCCTGAACCCGCCCCGCCCCCTTTTTTGTAATTGAATAGTTAAGTAATAACAGAATCTGAGTATGGAAACTGATAAAGGATCATCCACATATCTGAGCACTGCGTGTGTGGGAGTAATTTTACATTCTTTACTAGAAGCAAACTGTTACAGTAACTCCCTGCTCACCGCGCCGGAATTCTCGTTGTCGGTAGTATTTTTAATGTGTTGGTTACAATGCCGCCACGTTTTCCACTTTTCTTGAGATATAAGCCCCAACACGAATGGCCCCTTTCTATAATTAATAATCAAGAGTTTTTCCCCAACATAGGCCAAATTTATTTTTTTTAACCCAGGGTTGTTTTTTTTTTTTTTTGGTTGTTGTTGTTATTCTTTTATTTGAAATATTGGGTAATGTCCCCATCAAGAAAAAAAAGCAAAGATAAACACTCTGTACCTTGAGTGGAGATATCAATACGTTAGACTTTTTGGTTTTGAATTTTTTACCTTTGGCCACTGTGAACAGGGAAATGTGTGTAGAACGCAATGGTGCTGTATTCCCTCGGGGCCTGATTGGTTAACTTAAAAAATATATCCAGAATTCTGTTTGTTTATGTTACTCCCCATATACAGACACAAAGAACATTGGGGGCCAAAATTAAGGTAAGAATTGTTGACACTTGGATTTAGCACCCGACAGAAAGGCAACAAAAAAGTCCGCTTGTGATGGCTCAAGAGGATGAAAGAAACTGAGGGCGGTTGCTGTATTTTTTGTCCATAAATGTGTATACGCCAATGATTCAACTGTAGATCAAGATCTATACTACAAATAAAACTACACAAGAAGGTGATCCACTGCTCAATAAAAAGATGTCTTCCATAATTCACTATAAATCTCATAGATGTCGCCACTGGCGCAGATACATGTTGTTTGGGGTGTTTTGTTTTGTTTTAATTTCGTTTCTCAACATGTTATTGTAGAACAAACACTTTTACCGGAAACGTCACTGCTTGACTACAGTATTCGACTCCCAATTTACAGATTTTACCACCGGCTTTTTGGTGCCTTTTTGTTTAACTTTTAGCATTTCAGATATTCAAATATTTACATTGATAGGTCTTTAACCTCACATCATTCAGCCTCGAGCCATTTTCTAAATGCTCGTTACTTTGACAAATAAACAACGAAGGAGATGACAAATGTGTTTTTCTTTTACTAAAAATAGACAATTGGACACGAAAAGATGACAATGTAAGTTTCCATTCATGTTTGCAGTCTGGCATACGGAATCACGCAGGCAAGTGAGCCAGAGGCCTTAGTTAACCACGAGCTTTTGTCGAAACGTAATGGTTATTAAAGAAACTGATCATACATGTCTGATTGGACTAGAGACTAGATCTATAACCATTAGACACTGCTTTCATGCAATTATACACAGAATTGTGATGTTCGTCCTTCGTTGACGAAGATGGCCTTGACTTCATATCACTGAAGGGGTGGGGTGTGTGCGGAGATGGCTGATCAGGCCGATCTTCGCTCGGAAATGTTTGTTGCAGTGGGGGCAGGGGATGTTTGGGGCTGAACTAGACTGGAAGGTAGGGCTCTCTCGGTCTTGTCCCAACTGCCGTCTCCATTCTTTATTTCTGGTGCGTCTTTCTTCGAACTTGGCGACTCCTGATCTTACTCACACCGAATTACGCCGTGACAAAAAAAGCAATAATTATTCTGAATGTCTTTTCCATTCTTTTTCAGATTATGAAACTACGAAGACAGAGAATGTTTACAGGGCTGACATTACTGTTTTTCATCTGGGTGGTGTACTTGTTTCTAACTGTGTACACAGGTGCCCTTTCTTTCTCAACGTCATACGAAGTCAACGTTCGCCAAATAAGAGAAGAAATACTCAAGTCTATCAAACTGAACTCCTATAATTCAACAGAACTTGGAGAACTGCAAAGGCTACAAAAGGCCATTGAAGAACTCTCCAAGAACTCAAGAGTTGTGAAGGTTCGTGAAATCGTGAGGTATTGGTATTGGTCTTTTAAGATTGCTTCAAGTTTGTTCTTTTGTTTTGCTTTTTTAAGGGGTGGTGGGTCTGTTTTTGGTATAAGGTGATAAATGCAAAGGCACGTCTTGGTGTATTCAAAACAGAATCAAATATAATGATATTAACAGAAACCTCGAAGCCAAGACGACTCTTGCGTACTTGTAACTTGACAATTGGGAGAAATCGTTTATTTTTTCATATTCGTTTCTTCACAAACAATTCAATAAGTTCACAATGCAATTTCATGTATGGGTTTAAAAACCGCACAGTTGATTTATTTTAGTTTTGCTGTGTACGTTTTGGCATTGAGAAACATGAAAGAAAACTTTTCATAAAGTTCTGAACGTCAGTACAAAAAATACTTCTCCTAATATTCAGACTAGGAGAAAACATTTCCCTCTCTTTGAAATACATTTGTCGTCCAGATGACGTGTTCAAATACATGTATTTACTGTCAGCCATTGAAATTGAAACAGAGTGGCTTTGTCGACATCTATAGACAATCAATAAGGCTAAGTATATATATTGTATATTCTAACCATGCGTTCCCTTTTGTTTATTTTTCTCCATCGCCCCATCACCCTCAACCCCACCTCATCCCCCCCCTCTCTCTCTCTCTCTCTCTCTCTCTCTCTCTCTCTCTCTCTTTCTCTCTCTCAGACTCTCTCTCTCAGACTCTCTCCCTCGCTCTCTCTCCCATTCCATCTATCTATCTATCTATCTATCTATCTATCTATCTATCTATCTACCTACCTATCTATCTATCTATCTATCTATCTATCTATCTATCTATCTATCTATCTATCTATCTGTGTGTGTGTTTGTGTGCGTTCGTATATCGTACATAGAGAGATATTTACATGCATACATAAGATGCACATGTACGCCGTGAGTGGTTTCCTCTTAAAACCCCGGTCCGCCTGAGAACCCACCTTTACTCATATCACGGATTATTTGTGTCTAACTTGCATGCCTATATATATAAATATATATACATATATATATATATATATATATATAAACATATATATATATATATATATATATATATATATATATATATATATATATATATATATATATATATATAATAAAGAGAGACAGAGAGACATAGAGAGCTGCTATACTGATATACAGTCGAACCTGTACTGTGTAAGACGGAATCGCAAGGGAGCCAGAAAAAATTCCGTCTTAGACATTTTCCGTCTTAGACAGGGGAATTTAGGGGGAGATGCAGGTTTGGGGTGGGGGGGGGGGGTTCAAGGCCCAGTCGATGGGATCAAGGATCGCCCTTCCGATTGGCAAGCAGTGGTCAAAACTTCACACCTCTCAGTCTCAATTGCTATCCTGTCTGATAACGACTTGCGTCAGTCTTACTTTTATCCAATTACCACCAGTTCTTGCTTTTCATAGGACCACTGTTTGACCTATTAAAAACCTAAACGTTTGAACATCTCCTTTGCTTCCACCTTTAGCCCCACCCACCAATGCCACCCCTCACTGCCATTATGTAACAACGATTCGAGGAACTCTTTTCTCGGCTGGACGTACGATCAGGGTGGCAGGCATTGGTCAATCTAATTTCACACCTCTGGCTTCTGGCTACCCAGGAAAGTTTCCGTAGTTGCTCGCTACTCGAGCACTGTCACAGGCAGTAGTGAGATTTCACACCCACACTACACTGAGCATCTGCATCGCTCAGGGTTCACATGATGGGCTAACATCCTCGTCAGCGGCGCGCTTTTCCCTTTCGTCAACCCGCAGCCACCTCCCAATCGTCAGCCACCCCCAACCTTTGACACGGGTCAAACTTCCATCTATTTATAGGTAGTTACCGGAACATGTATAGAGGTGAAGTGATGTGCCGTGATAGTCGCGATATATTATTTATTGAGATTGTTTTGGTCTCTCTTTACTCATCACCACGAGAATTTCTTGAAGTTTTTCCCTGGACTCTGCCTTTGCTAAAATCTCGAATCTAGATCTAGATCTAGATCTAGAGTTGTAATCTAGTGTCAGGTTGCAGATTTCTGTTGTTATCCAGTACATTCCAGAGATTAAATAAATTGGACTAGACTCTAGTAGTGGACTCTTCTTCTTCTACTTCTAAACCTTCGAGATTACAAAGGCCAAGCCTAGGCTTGTAAGGATTCGTTTTGTTAAAAGTGTTGTTTAACACAAAGTCTATGAAGTTAGCAAACCTAACACATTGTTTTCTAACGAAATGATGCTTAAATTGACTTTAATATTGTCAATAAGAGATCAAGTTTAATCACCTAATCATTTAAGTAAGGAAGTGGCTATCCTCGCTCGGGGTGAGAATAAAAACCCTACGATTGACCTCTCACCCCGGGTGAGACTTGCCAGCGTTGGCTATTCTCACCCAGTGTGAAACAAGACCTGTTTTTCCTAATTTCGAAATGCTTTCTATCGGTGTGGATGATCAAATTGACAAAGGCAAAGAAAAAAATGACGTTATAGCACAAAAGTAAGCTAATTTGATCGTCTACAAAGATGCTATGGCCCTTTCACTTTTCGAATCGACCGAACTACGCGGGTCACCATTTTGTTTTGCCCGAAAGTTCTCGCAAGATCTATTCCTCCCCCTTCTCTCTCTCTCTCTCTCTCTCTCTCTCTCTCTCTCTCTCTCTCTCTCTCTCTCTCTCTCTCTCTCTCTCTCTCTCTCTCTCTCTGTCGGCAATTTATTAAATCTGCAACCTGCAATTAGATTACAACTAGATCTAGATTCGAGACTTTAGTAAAGGCAGAGTCCAAGGAAAAACATCAATTAAATTCGTGTGGTGCAGATGAGTAAACAGAGACCAAAACAATCTCTCTATTGCGACTATAATTGCACATCACTTCGCCTAATACATGTTCCGGTAGATTTAACTACCTATAAATAGATGGAAGTTTGACCCGTGTCAAAGGTTGGGGGTGGCTGACGATTCGGGAGGTGGCTGCGGGTTGACGAAAGGGAAAAGCGCGTCAGCGGCATGGCCATAGCGTTAAGTCTACAGCTGGCGGAACCAAACTTGCGAGTTTTGTTTCAAATCAGGGCTGAGTGGGCAAAGCGTTTTCCGTCTTAGGCAGGTGAAACCCTCGGAAGAGAGCAGGTTTTTCTTTCCCTTTCCCGTTGGACAGGTTTCCGTTTTATACAGGTTTCCGTTAAGGCAGGTTCGACTGTTTATATATACATGTACTATATATATATATATATATATATATATATATATATATATATATATATATATATATATATATATATATATATATATATATATATATAATATATAAATATATCTATCTATCTATCTATCTATCTATCTATCTATCTATCTATCTATCTATCTATATATATATATATATATTTATTTATATTTATATTTCGTACTGGACAGGTTTAGAGAGAAGCATGGCACCTCTTACCAGAAGTTGGCATGCACGCATAAACTCACAAACACATTAGTATACATAGACGTGGGAGCACACTCATAAAAATACATGCAGGCGCATGTCCACGCACGAGAGAGATAGAAAGAAGGAAAGAAAAAGATAAAGGGACTGAGGGGAGGGGGGGCAGAGACAGAGACAGAGAGAAAGAGACAGAGTGAGAGAGACAGATAAAGAGAGAAAGAGAGAGAGAGAGAGAGAGAGAGAGAGAGAGAGAGAGAGAGAGAGAGAGAGAGAGAGAGAGAGAGAGAGAGAGAGAGAGAGAGAGAAATCGGCGTGTCCAAAAGAATAAGAGTGAAAAACTAGAAGTAGTAATATAACAATATAATTATGCACAGTTATTTCTCCCAATCGAATCTCTGTCTTGCAATTTGAAAGAAACGTTCGGTGTGAGGCTTCAAGTATTCCAACAACTTTTGCCGCAGCTGTGGGTTTAGTGGTACATGCTTCCTTCCTTTTTGAGAGTCCATACAACTTGAAACATTTGTGCTTCTTATTCTGTAGCAATAAAATCCTTTATCTTTGTCGAAGTAAATATCTTCCTTTGAGAAAAACTTACGGATCCCAAGGAACTTTTCTATTTGAAGTAACTGAGAAAGAGGATTTTTCACGAATGCATCACCATCAACAATGAGTGTTTGGTCCCTGTGGGAAGAAAAAAGAGTAATATTAATAGTTTCAACATGTTTCAGAAAGCTCTTTGAAGTTTAAGGGTTTCCCAGCTGCGTTTTCATCACAGGCAACGTTTAGATAACGGTTAGAAAATACATGTTATGTTCAGTATCCAAGAAATTTGAATCTTTAAACGAGAAATGAAGTTTCGAAAGCGCTGGTTTTATTAATTTATTGACGAAAAAAATGCATCATCCTGATGGTACAGTTGGCGGTCTGCCACAGTAGAAAGCGAAACAGTTGTCTTCATGAACTGTATAGAAAAGAGGCAGTGTTTGGACCCTGGCCGAGTATGTCACCAAACCATTAACTTCCGGCAAGTTCACATTAGAAAAATCGATAATAAAGATCTATGGCTCATTAGAAACTGCGCAAAGACATGGTCAGCATCTCGTTGACTGCGATACCCTAGTCTATTGTTTTCTTGTCAAAGTAAATACTTCAGAGTATTACCAGAAAATACAAAAGCCGTTTACTGCAACAACATGATACACTGTACTTTTAAACTCGACTATTCGGTGTGGTATAATCTCAAAATTTTTAACCAATTACTTTAAAACGTAAGGGAATATTACCTTGGGAATACTTTGTATAGCTGTTCCATTCGGTCAGCGAAGACTCCCCATTTTTGGGCAGGATAGTCTTTGATTTCACCATTGATACTTAAATACTTCTCCTCTATGCTTTCCACTTTTTTCCCAAGATTCTTTGCGCCCTGTTGAACAAAAAAAATTTATTTAAATGGTTCCAGCAGAGGGAGTTACTCAAGCCCAGGCAAGTGGCATTGTTGCAATGTTTTATTGTTACTGATGTTGTCGTTGTAACTCTTTTCATT